CATCCTCAGCCTCGCGAACGGCATCCCTGACCTTAGACTGGAGCTTTTCCAACTCCTTCTCCTGTATACGAAAAAAAAAACATGGAAGTGGTGTGGTGGTACGTTGGCGCGAGCGGTTCATAGTAAATGCGTCATGAAGTGGTTTGGTTTTTCGTTGGCGCAAGCGGTTTGGAGCACATGCGTCACGAAGTGGTCTCTTGTGGTGTAGGCGCATCGGATGGAAAAAATGCGTGATGAATTGGTTTGAGGTGTTGTTGGTGTAATCGGGTTGGAGTAATTGCATCTGAATTGGTTCGAGGTGTTGCTGGTGAAATCGGTTTGGAGTAGATGCGAGTTGCGTGGTGGCTCGTTCCGTATCGCAGGCACTTGACGGTGTTTCGGGGGTAGTGCGGTGTGCGGTCACAGAGTGCAAAAAAAAACAACAGGTGCGAGTCCGTGCTGCCGATGTGACGCTACGATTTTCTCTCCAAAGGGTTGCAATGCACCACAACGACCCGCGCCCCTCCAGAAAAACACGCCAATAACAAGCGAAACAACTGCTGTTAATGATTCGCATGTGTGTGTTGAACCGGCTCTCTCGTCTCTTATCTGCCGAGTCGCCTCCTTGCGCAAGCCGTAACTTACGTCCTGCGAAAAAGAGCCACGAGGAGCGGCGTCCGTCAGAATCGAAAAACGGCGGTGACTTTCCGAATCGACACAAAACGTTCAGTAGACAGGAACAATGATGACCCATTCCCAGCGGACCGCCTTCGCGAGCATTTACATTTTAACCTTGAAATAGAGAGGGGGGTTTCGTATCCCTATACCTAACCCTAACTCAACCCCGTACCCCTACTAGCCGAGCTGAATAATCTCGCGTAGTCTGCTGTTCCCAGCGTAATTGGCCCTCTATTGGGGCACCACGCAAATGCGTGCGTTTTCTGTACCCTGTTGTCCTTCGAGCCGCCCGGGTGCTATCATGGCCTGTGTAGGCGAAGGCGGACAAAGCCACAGTAGCCAGGTACAGATGCACTTCACAAGACCACAAAAAAGAGGTCAAGTCCCAAATGAGAGACGAAAATATAATAATCTACGCGTCGCCCTTGGGCAGTCCCTACCGGAGATCTCAAGAGTACCCGTTCAAAACGTTAACACATATCGTTCTTGTTTGGCTAATTTGGACGAATACAAAGAGGGTAGGCAGACAAGACTTACCAGAACACCATACGAGTCTTCCTGGGCAGCGGCCTGGCGCGTGAGCTGGTCGACCCTCGCAACTGCCGCCTCCCTCTCCTCGAGAACCTTGGCAGCCTCCCGGGCCTTGCCCTCGGCAGCCTCTCTCGCGGACTTTTCGCTGGCCGTCGATAGGACAAAAAAAAGGGAGAAAAAAAAAAAAGCAAGCAATCGATCAGGAAAAGCAAAGAGATGGGGGACAGGCCACTACCAGGATGGAGGGAGAATAAAAGCGAGAGGAAACGATGAGGAAGAGCACGCACATGACGGACGTACGAAAACGGTACATGACCAGACGAGAGACGGGAGGGAAGGCCAGGATAGTCGAATCGCGGATGTGCAGCAAATTGACCGGGCTAACCTATACCACATCATGTCAAATCCCAACCCCATATACAGCATTAGATTTTCTCAGACCGCGTTCTTAGCGTCAAAACCCAAATGCCAAACAACGGCCGTGATGCTGCTCTACTCTACACATGTATCGGCATCATGTCTCGCAAGACGTTTGCCCCCGCGCAAACGTCCCTGACCCTGGGTGTGTATCGTCAACACGGCAGTGACAAGGTTCTTGGCAGCTTGCTCTGATCCCTGATAAATTTCCATGCCACATGTTGATTCGCTTGGACGCCACAAACCATCAAACCATTCCTTCACCTCTGCAGTCCGGCGAGGGCCTGGTCCAGTCGAGCCTGAAGCTCTTGGTTGCTGCTCTCCAGCCCCTTCACTTTCTCATCCCTCTCGGCGAGCTGGAATCGCCGATGTAACCAGGAAGAGCGGGTCCATCCAGAGGACGGAGGATAGGCCACGGCGGGAGACAGAGCCAGACAGAGCCAGACAGATTGATAGACAGACAGACAGACGGACAAGAGAGACAAAGAGGCAGGCAGACAGACAGGCAATAGACAAGACAGAGACAGAGAGACAGATAGAGGTGACGCTAGCATGCAGGAGGTCGAAACGTTTGGCGGAAAACCCTCACACCATTTGGGGGAGTCGATTCCCCAGCAACAAATGTTTGGCGGCGGCCGGCGGCTCAGGACCCTCGACTCGCGCAGACAAAACTGAGACATCTCACTCATTCTCTCTCTCCTCCACAATCACAGCAGTATTTGGACCCGTCCCCTTGCTCTGCTTTGGATGAATATATTACGGACACAAAAGGGCGAGATGTAAGTACGGAAACGCCACGCCGGATTGGACTCCCCATATTGAGGAGGAGGGGTGCTGTCGCAAAACCCTCTCATACAGGCAACTCGCGAAGAGGTTTTCCCTCTGGGTCATACTCCCACCGAACTTCTGCCGTGGTGTCAGGGCCAAGACAGCAATGTCTACCACCGAACATTTCGAGCATCGAGGGTTGATAACAGCAGCATCTATTGGAGCTCCCCCCTAGATGCAGGCAAGTTGACCCAGGGGGTGAAACCGCCTCCAAAACGAGCACAACTTCTTGGAACCCAAGGGGCTAAAATGACGAGTTGTATGGTTGGTGTTATCGCTTAAAGCCGCATGCTCTTCTTACAATTGGACAGCATATTGGGGTGTCCACAGGGTATTTGTGGGTTCCTCCCATAGACCCTCTGTAAGGGAGAGGGGGGAGCTAACACGTCTCAAAAATGACTGCGGCCACTCGTCGGAGTCAAAGGGGCTAAATCGACGAGTTGAACAGTTGTTTTTTTCGTTGTAACCCGCATGCCTTGAGGCCAGGGTGCCTTTGCGGGTTGGTACTATAATACGTACAATTCTGGGCATTCATACAGGGCCCTGGCACAGAACATGGAGGGGGGGCACGACAAAAGGATGGCTTCTGGATACCGTCGTCGGTATCTAACCTTGTGTATATACTCTTTAAACTCGTCTGGCTGATCATGAAAAAACGCTCTGAAGTGAGTCTATCGCGCTGTTAGCTGATGTTGCCTGTGTGTTCAACGGGTAGTCACCCGCACCTGCACCATTACAGATATGGCGCGAACCAAGTACTCTGTGTATGCCCCACGCTTTTTACGGTATCTGCCGCATGTTCTCATGTGAACGAGGCAACGTGCTTCGGCAACAACCCACCAGCGGGTACTGAATGCGGAGACAAAGGACCTCGCTGGCTGAAAGGGCACAACATAAAAAAAAACTTGCAGCTGTTTAATCGAGCCCGGCACCCTCCCCCTACGTTGTAGTTGGCAAGCACTGCTGCTGTACACCAGAGAGAGGGCCCCTCTGCGTCCCGCGCGTTGCCGCTGTTTTGCGGTTGTTCTGGGCCACGGTGGACCGCGAACGACAACACTTCGTTCGTCCTTGTCACGTCACGCCACCGACATTCTGATTGAAGCAGAAGGCTTGGTTACTCTAGGCTGAACGAACACTCCCCCCGTACATGCGTCACTTGGGAGTGGTGCAGCTTTACGCGGGGCGCACCACAGCCGCACCAACGGCAGAAAGGAGAGGCGAAAAATCAAACTTGACCCGGAGTTTTTGCGTTGGGTGGTTGGTACCTGGGATTTGAGCTTGTCCTGCTCCGCTTCAATCTCCCGGATCCTTTGCTCCACATCGTCCATATTTTGCTCCATGTCATGATCCATGGCTGCTCTCTCGATGGGAGCAAGCTTCGCTGTGCAGCACAGCGCAGCAATGGCATATGACACCAAATGAGCATTGCAGCGCAGTTTCACGCCGGGGAGGGTCCCCGCGAGCTGGAAGAGGCAGGGGAGCAAATGGTTATTTTCCATGATATCCCCCCCATTTTCCGCCGCATCATCACAGACGCTGCTGTTCAACTTGACCTACCGCAGGCATCAGGCGAGGACTGAACATGTCTTGGGCTGAAGGTCGCGAAGCAGCCATGCCCGCAGGTAATTGGACTTTCAAACCTGATTCTTGTAATAGGCCTCGTTCGTTACACTACTCCAAAATGCAAACGGGTATTTCGAAAATTATTGCCCCGCGTCGGACAGCGAGCGGTAGTGCAAGCCCTCGTGCTCAGGAGCGCGAGGCACAACCAGCAAGGTTTGCAATTGGCAGTCTCTCCGTCGCATACGGCGGTGGTACGTCTTGAAGTATGTGTTTTATTTTGTCACCCTCTGTATCACGAGTAAGATTTGCTTACATCCGCGATGGATCACGCAGGTGTAGAGGACGATAGGGCCAGCCGAGCAGCGATCAAGCCGCTGTGTCGTACTGACTGGAAGAACTGCAGTACTGGTATTCATCATGCTGCGATTCACCACCTCCAGTTAGACAAATTCGGCGTGTGGCAATCTTGTGGTTGACGTTCACAATCAGGGTAGTGCGGGCATAATGTTGGTCATTACCCTAGTCCGAAATGATGAAATGGTAGGTATCATGATTGCTGTCGAGGTGGCGGACTTTCTCACATCAGGTAAAGAGGGTCCTACGAGCACAAGTCTACAGCAGCACTATTGTATACAGTTGAGGCCCGCACTTAAGAATATGGCACTTAAGAATATGGTGCTAAAAAAAAACAAATTTGCCGGTAAGAACACGTGCTCAGATTGCACCTGCAGTTAAGAATAAGAACGCACGCCTGAGGTGTACCACTGCTGCTAAAGATAAGAACAAGAGCACATTCAGCAGCTGCGAGATAGGAGCATTCAAACGGGGAGGGGGAGACGGGCGGGGGGGTGATCCCAGTATTGGATTTGGCAAGGGGGTAGGTGTGCCGAAGGTGGGTGCATACATACACCTCAGAATCTGCAATTTTTGCAGAGGAGAGGGTGGGCACTGTACACGTCGCGCCCCCTTGGCGGCTGCGCACGTGCAGCGGGCCACAAGTTGCCTGCCGTACAGGTGGATCATGTCCCTGTCCAATACCTTATCCCATGGGTTGTTGAAAGATCTTGGCAAACTTGCAGAGTTGAAAGGACGGGGTCTAATTCTTGCCCGTCACTTCGAGACGATAAAAACACATGTGAAGGCGGGAAACTCCGTTGCGAAGGAGCGGTGGGACGCCATCGAGAGTGCGTGGGGGTTGAAGCAGAACGGTATCTTCGACGAAGGAGAGTGGATCGCGCAGATTGATTGTGAAATCCAGGGCATTATCAGCAGCACCCGCCTGCCCTTGTCATCCCAACAAGATGCCAGCAGCGCACGAGGTGCTGCTGCACCTTCTCAGNGCGCACGAGGTGCTGCTGGACCTTCTCAGCACCCAACTGCTGCTGCAGCGGGTACCGCGAGGAGGAAGGTGGATCGAGGGAAGCACGCCAGGGAGAGAGCTGCGAAAGGCACTTTAGGCGGCAACATCTGCAACGCGTTCTCGATTGGCAGCGGACAACCGGTGAGCTCGGTTACATATGTATCCGACGCACGCTGTTGCTTTGTCTTGCTACACAGTTTTTTTTTTTTTTGTTCCCGATAGTCTAAGAAGAGAAAAAATGAAAACAAAAATAGGTAAGTTTATTAGTCTTATGTGACCCAAACGAAACAGACGTCATCTCCCCACTCTCTCGTGTGATTCACGATAATCTTTTCAACGAAGTATTCGTTCAGAGTGCATAGATACTTTTGCCAGCGGCATCCACGGAAGTTTGAATTCAACAGCGCCCAAACTAAGAGCGACTGACACGTCACATGGCTCGTTGAATCCCCTACACGGCAATTCCGCCCTTTCCCATCGCACCGAGCAGATTGAGCGGACTCGTGGTGGAGCGAAAGAGTTCGTATCCGGTATCAGCTTCCCGCTTCCGGCCCCGGAGTCCCGCCGATCCTGCCCTCACTGTCCCATGGCCTTCGTGAACGAGCAAGGCCTTGGGATCCACCTGAGAACGCAGCACAGCAGTGCAAACATGTCCAACGGCGTGCGGCTGCGGCGGATGCTACAGAAGAATCTCGAAGGGCGTGTCCTGCCGTGGGAAGAAGCCGAGCCTGGGCGTTGTTGGCACGTGAAGGTCGATGATGCGACGGGGGCGGTTTCGTTTGTCCTCCAGCGGAAGCGCTTTCTCGATCTAGACTTGGAAAGCGACGGCTTTATGGACCGCGAAACCAAGGAAACTCGTGGAGCTCCCAAGCACAGGCGATACGACTATAGGTTCAAAGCCAATGCTGTCAACCAGCTGCGCATCCTCGAGGACAACGCCGCGGACCTCTGGAAGGAGGAGGAGCGCACGCCTCTTCAGTACTTAGAGGATCGTCTCAAGGTTCACTACAGCAACATCGTGAAGTGGGCCAAGGACGAGAAGGTCATAGTCGCGGCGGCAGCAGACAACGTGAAGAAGAGCCTCCTCGCCAAGCAGCAGCCTAAGCGGTGGTTTCCTGAGGCAGAAAAGAGGCTTTACGAGATGTTCGCGGAGCGGCGTAAGAGGAAGCTGAAGGTATCGACCCTGTGGCTGACGACCACTTTCCGGAAGCTCGTGCGAGAAATATATCCCGGGGACCAACGGGAGGCGGCGTTCCGCGCATCCTTCAGGTGGGCACGAAAATGGGCCAAGAGGCNCAGACAACGTGAAGAAGAGCCTCCTCGCCAAGCAGCAGCCTAAGCGGTGGTTTCCTGAGGCAGAAAAGAGGCTTTACGAGATGTTCGCGGAGCGGCGTAAGAGGAAGCTGAAGGTATCGACCCTGTGGCTGACGACCACTTTCCGGAAGCTCGTGCGAGAAATATATCCCGGGGACCAACGGGAGGCGGCGTTCCGCGCATCCTTCAGGTGGGCACGAAAATGGGCCAAGAGGCACAACCTGTCCAAAAGACGTCGGACCAACCTCAAGAACAAGTCTGTTGAGGAGCGCCTACCAAAGATCCAGCGCTTCCACCGACTGTTTCGCAAGCTCCTGCAAGAGCCGGTACGGTACAGGGCGCCCGATGAGTCGGACGTATCGGCGATTACGACGGTCGCAGAGAGGGAGTCCAGAGTTCCCAAGTATGGCCAATTCCAGCTCTGGGAGCGTTGGAATGTGGATCAAGTGCCTTTGGCATTCGTAAACGGGCTGCTCGATACGTGGGAGGAGCGAGGTGCGAAGCGTGTCGCCATCTCACAGCCGTTTTCGGGCCTAGCGACAAGGCAGTGCACCATGCAAGTCATCTTTGGTCCGGGTGAGAAGACCTTGCGAATTTCGGTGATTTTCCGAGGCACGGGGAAGCGGATCTCGCCGGTGGAGAAGGCCGCGTAACACAAGGACGTGGACGTGTTTTTCCAGGAGGATGCTTGGGCCGACCAAAAGTTTTGTATGGAACGGGCTAAGAGGTCCTACCCTGAAGGCCTGATGCGCGGGCGGGGTGAGCTTCCCAAGGCGAGGTCCATTCTTATCATGGACAACTTGCACGCGCAGACGACGGACGACTTCAAGGAGTATCTTGCGAAGGAGTGCAACACTCTCGCCTGGTATGGCCCTTCGGAGTGCACGGACGAGGTGCAGCCAGTTGATGCAGGAGCCGGACGATTTATCAAGGTGGAAGCTGGGAGGCAGATGGACATGTGGCTCGAGCAGTCGGACAACCTCGAGAGGTGGGAAACCGCGGCGCTGACAGCTTCTGATCGGCGGGTACTGATCACTCAGTGGATTGGAGCGGCCATGGCAAGACTCAACAGCCAACAGGCGTTCCGATTCTGCCTTTTCGAAAAGTGCGGGATGGCCATGGCTGTGGACGGCTCAGGCGATGATCGGATCACCTTGGAGGGTTTGGACAAGCCGTACACCTTCGCAAACGATGAAGACTGTAGCGAGGACGAAGAAGGTTTGGAGAACGGCAGCGATGAGCCTGAGGGGCGGGGGAAGGAGGGCGATGGACGTGAGACGGTCGTGGAGGGCGCTGATTCCAGCGATGATGAAGACGACGGCGGTAAGTTTGATTTGCACTAGACCCAATCTTTGTCATTTCCTTGTTGATGACGATGTCCATGTTGATATTTGCTTGGATTTTGCTGATGTGCTGTTTCCGCGTTCACGACTACGAGCAAATATGATGGGTTCATGTTGAGTTTCGGCCGTGACACCGTACTTCTTGTGGTGTTTCACGGTGCCCCGTTCGCAGGCACGTCTCAAACCCAGACCGATGAGCTAGCTCTTCTCGACGACGACGACAGCATGGACCCACAAGACCCGGAGGACGAGACACAAGGAATGGAGATCCCGACAGGCTTTCGCATTCAAGAAGTTAAACCCGTTGCTCTTACAGATTGCTTTTGCGACGTGGAGTGCTCGTTAGGCCGGGGATGGGGTGGTTTTGAGGGTTGATCATTCAGCAATCTCAGCAGGACACTCGCCACCTGTACGACTACTGTGTGCAGCTGGAGCTAGACCAGAGTACGCGCAAGATGAAGCTGCCCTTAGGCAAGTACACCGGAGATCTGGATGCGGCGGTAGGCTCCTGGGACTTGCTTGAGAGCGTTAGTAGATCGGGGAGGGTACGCATGACCAACGTCACCCTTGTGGACCAAGATGGTTGACAGTTGCTGCTGCATGCCTTGGTGTGTTCTTGTACCAAACAACAGCATTGTTCCTCATGCTAAACACTATAAACACTCCGCCGAGTGCATTTGACAGCCGCCAACAAAGTACGTCGTCATACAACGTACGCCAACAGGGACGGCGAAATAAGAACATGGCCAATAAGAACACGTGCTCGGGTTGGGGCAGCCAGTAAGAACTGAGTCTCGCTCAAAATAGGAGGTTTTTAAGTGCGGGCCTCAACTGTAGATCAGATCCTGTACCCATCAGGCTCTACCAATTAGCTGCGGGTTTGTTTGCACACCACGCTCACCCTGAATGTATTTGCACATCTTTTCTTTCTCGCTTTCTCGCCAAAGAGCCAAAGCGACCACCTATCTCGCCACAACAACAGCTACAAAATCGGTTTTTCACATAAGAGATCGTACACTTTCACCTACACCGCCGCATCGTACCCTGAGAGGTGGATGGACACATTTCGGAACTGATACGTGATACCGGATTCAAATCGCCGAACACACAGGCGCGAAACCCCACATTGATGGAGACTCCAAGTTGAGCGGCAACAATATTCTTTACTTCAGTTTACGCGCGTTTGAGCACCATTTAGGAGCTCAGTTGAGAACCCCTTAATACCTGTACATCGGCCATTTGTACATACCAAAACTTTAGGAACTATGAACCCCATCGTGGGCCAAAACAAGAGGTTCTCATGTTCGGGGCAAAAATTATTTTTACGAAGCGGCTACGACCAGCGACCGTCCCCTCCCCGCACCTAACCTTGGGCGCGCTCTGCAGGTGCGACCGGCTCGCGGCAAGAGGCGTTGGACAGGGTGGACGGAATGCTTCGAGCTCTCGCGCGAGACAAGGTGACAAGCTTCCCGCCGTCTGGCCGAGTAGGGCAAGCAGGCCTGGTTTGACCTGCGTCCGTCGACATGGGCGTCATCAGATGTTTGCTTTTGTCGAGGGCTTGCTATCAGCCGGAAACACCAACATGGGTTGGCTTCGCTCCTGTTTTGTCATTGAAATATGGTTCGATAGTTCTGGGCAAAGACTGAGCAGCCCCGGGGTAAGGTTGTCTCACGGCAAAATATTGGTACATGTCCGTCCTTCCTTCGTGGCCCTTCGTCTATCCAGCTCCTGCAAGATGACTTGAGGAACACCGACGTGAAAAGGGCTCTGGAGCACTGGACTGGGCAGAACAGGTTGTCTCAAGATGACGCGGACGAGCTCATGGAGGACAACTACAGGTAGGTGGTGTCCAAGAAAGAAGAGAAAACATCATATATCGTGCTGAACTGAACTTGTTCACCCGGGCAACAGAGAGACCTCTGGAGTGTGTGAAATGTCGTCCCCACAACAATAAACAAAACAAGTACTAGGTTGGAATCACGTAACACAGACGTGCTTGCCCAGTATTTTCTACTACATCAAGGATGTTCCTTCGTTTCTGCAGTCACAGGCAACGGAAGTTGCACGAAACATCTGCCCAAGGAACCCCGGCTTCTCATTTTCTATGAAAAAGATCCCTGTCATCATTTGATGGAATGGTAGATGAGAGCAGAAACGCTTCATCCATGATGGCATGATGGCCGTGGTTCAAGCGATGTGATAGTTTTTCATGTGTCGAATCCCCGAGAACTAGCTTGTAGAACGTGGGTGGGAGGGTTGTAATACACTACCAGCTGCTGTTGTAGCTCCACTAACTGACATCCGTTCGGATCAGCCGATAAAACCACCAAGGTCGATGATTGCGAACGTTATCATTCGGCGCTCAAGTAGTAATTGGGCTTGGACCTTGACGCAGCGAAATGTTTCATGAGTACCAGGTCCCCTCCCCCAATCCATCGTGCACGTCATCCCCCATGTCGATGTTGATTGCATTCCCTCTAACTTCCTGGTGCTGCTCAGAATACAATCTGTGTGCTCCCGTATGGCGGAGCTTCAGAGTTTGTGCAAGCAGGCCTCCATTGGACTGCCGCTCTCACACGTGCTTGCTGGGAAGGGGCTTTACGAGAGGCTTGACCAGGTAGGCAATGTCAGTAGTGGCCGTGTCGACGGTAGTTGCTCAAACGTGATTCACAGCAATGTACTGTACCACCAACGACAAACCCCATGTGACAGCAGATAAATACAGCGTTACAATGGTGCCAGAAACAGCAGAGATACATGTAGAAACAACAACAATACTAACAACATGAGGCACAACACCAGCACCGGTGAAGATAGTTGTCGGTGGTTTACATGCATGGGGTTCTTGGTCCGTGCCTTCGTGGTATGTAGCGAGCGCCCCATCGTCGTGTATCGGACTCGCGCCTTCTTCCGATTGTCTTTTGACTTGTTTCGCTCTCCTCACCCCCGCCCCTGCTGTTTATATCTTCTCTTGAAACCAGCCCGGGCAAGCGCCTACCGCCGCAGGCTCTGGTTCCGATGTGAACGCCGCAGACCAAACAGGACGACCAACATCAACAAGCGATGGCAGCAGCAGCAGTCTACAGCGGAGAAAGGGAGCGACAGCGAAGGGATCGCATGATGCAACGGCGGGGGCGGAGGTAGGGGGCGGAAAGGAAGAAGACGAGCCCTCCTGGCGGCGGGCCCTCGCCGAGGAGGCCTTGAGGCTGACGTTCGTGTGCCTGTGTGCTCTGGTGTTTACTCTCCTGCTCAAGCACTATCGGGGAGACGACCCGCTCGGGAAAGGGTTGCCAGGGCAGCAGCAAACGGCACCGTCGGCGGGACAGGGCGAGTTGTGACGGCGCCTCTGGTGCTTCGATACGTTTCTCGGGGCAGCGGGTTGTGCACAGTCGCGAATGTTTTGTTTTTTTCATCCAGGGGGACAAGGATGCAGTAAAACACGGTACGCTTGTCCCCGCGGCGTGTCGGGACCAACGTACGGCTTCTGCTGCTGCATGGATGCGTCTGTTTCGTGAATTCCATCCTTGAACGTCTGTAACCGTTGTGCTTCAACATTAAAAAAGGGAGGGCAGGCAAGGCTATCATGGATAATCCGCGGCGGTTTTCTGCCGGCACTGTCGTCCCGTGTCGTCCTGTCAGCTGAAAGCGGTGTTTTCAGATGGGACATTCTGACTGGGGACGTTTTGTCGGAACTGTGACGCACGGGATGTGGCCATGCTGCTGTTGCCGTCTGCACCGACAAGCGCTAAGGTACCCGGTTCTCCAGTAACGGACATCGCTTCTTGACTTCATCTCGAGCTTGGCACGGTTATCAACTTGGAGAGTTTCTGTCGCAACCCAGTACAAGGCAGCAACTGTATCGGCCCGTTAGCGACGTTATTCCCTCGCTGTTCACACCAAGCCTCACAAGAACACCAGATCTTCAGCAGTAGTGGCAAGAGCCCATGCAATGCGAAACAGCCGAGGTTCTGTGGGTGTTGGCATCGGCCGTGTGTTTGCTATCGAAGATCACGCAAACCTCCGGGAACGAGCTTTTTGTATATCAGCGGCCGACAAACGTGATACGCGCTCCATGGAATCAGAGCGAGCTCGACCGCGGAGCTTTCGCGGGAAGCATCTCTGTTCTGCTTTCTCCCTGGAGTGCTCGGCAATGATTCACCTGTTCTCGAGGCGCGCCACAAGCGAGCCCCGAGCCGACCTTGTGTCCCCAACGGCCAACCGAAACGCAGCGGCCATCTGCTCTTTCCCTACTGCACACACCGAGCTCTATGTGCGAGATGAACCGGAAGCACTACTGTACCAGACTTTGACCTGAACCGTGATAAGCATACGAAGAAACTTCGGGGGTGTAAGTGACTGATGTTGAACCGAAGCACGGACGGCTCAGCGCCTGCGCTGATTCCACGTCCGGTCTGCTCAATCACGAGGTCGCGGGCTTGATGGGGCGCATCCCCGTCGGGCCGTCTTACGACGCGCTCCACCGCAGCCTGAAGGGGCGCCCGATGTGGAGCACATGCCTGCGTACGACAGGGGCATAGTCGACCAGTCAGACGCTGACAGCACAAGCGAGATAGCATCAGGCCAGTTCGCTACGCAATGGCCTTGTGCCTCAATCTCCGCTTCCCGGCTTCAGATATCTGTGCAAACACATGGGAGATGCTGAAGCTGAACAGCGTCAGGAACATCTCCGCCCCGGCCGTATCAGTTTGCGCAGTATCAGTTTGCGCAGTCCCGGACAAGATTATGCCAGCGCTTGATCTCATCCGTGATGAGCGCGTTCATAGCTTCACCGACAGACTGCCTCCGCGATCTCCGAGACATGGGCACTACGACATCGCTCGTAGCGGCCGTCGTTGTCAACGGCAACCTGTGGGGAGTTAACGAGGTGCACGGCTACACAAGAAACGTGAACCCGTTATGCGAGAAGATGGCGGTGGTAGCCGGGGGGGGGGTCGTTGATCTCGCACTACCAACATGGAAGGTCGCAACGCTCCCCCTGTCACACGCGGTCTGCAAGCCCAACAACCACAAATCGGTGAGCGAATCCCTGTCGGCCAACCAAGGGTAGACTACACGTGGAAAAATACACAAGACACATTGGCCTACACACTCCTCTTCCCCTCCCCGGCCTGCTCCCCGGCCGGGACCGAAATCGACCTTGTGAGTCCCTCGCGGGCGAACCAGGCTACAACAGATAGTAGGTGGGTGGTGTCCCAAGGTGCAACTCACCGCCGCGCTGGCTCAGCGTGGCGGTGAGGATGCACAGACGGTGGTAGTGGCGAGAGGTGTATGTGGACCTTGTCCCCGCGGCAGCAATGCAAAGCGGCAAACTGCACCTGGTAACCACCGTCGCGGAAAACGTGGCCCACGAAGCTGGAGGAGCAGAGAGATTCGTAAAAACCACGCGAGTAAGCACCGTTCGCGGGAGAAGGGAGATAACCGCGGGCGACGCGGGGGGGGAGTGCTGCACCCTCCTCGTCCAAACACCACAGGCAAGCACCGAGCCCTGCAAAGATGGATCGATGCGAAGAAACTCGCCGCTCGGATTAAACGGAAGAAAACACCCCCCCAGCGCGAGGCGGACCGAGAGCGACAGGAGATCGCAGCGGGCGTGAAGGCGACCGCGAAGAAGAAGGCGCGGGAGGGCGATTTATCGTTCGGCACGTTCAACGTACGCACGCTCGCCTACAGCGGCAGGAACCCCATCGGCCACAACGTGATGACGGTCATGCAGATCTGTGCCGCGACCGACTGTGATGTGATAGGACTCCAAGAGACCCGACGAGCGGGACAAGGCGCGATTACACACGACGGGTACGTGATCATCTGGAGTGGTGCCCGTGCCGGCACCAAGGACAAGAGGGGCGTGCACGGTGTGGGCATAGCGATTAAGGAGACCATGTGGGACAGCGTAGGCGAGGGAGGTAGGACGGTGGAGTGCATTAGCCCGAGGCTGATGAAGGTGCGCCTGCAAATTGGCCGCACCTGCGGAGTAACTTTCGTGGTGGGGTACGCCCCTACGGAAACTGCCCGCAACACCGCGGGCGGTGATGTCAATGCCAAGGACTCCTTCTGGACTGCTCTCGACGCAGAGATCCGGGAGGTCCATAGCCGTGACCATCTCGTGGTACTAATGGACGCCAACGCACGTACTGGCAGGAGGCGAGACGGATGCTGCGATGCCAAGATTATGGGCGCGTACGGACGCGACATTATGAACAACAACGGGGAACGACTTCTCGGACTGGCAGCAGACAATCGACTCTCCCTGATCAACACCTACATCCGGACACCGAAAGGAGTGCATACGTTCCAGAGCTCCAACAAGGGGAAGGAGAAGCACCGCCTCGACTTCATCCTCATGCGACAGACGGACCGGCGTCTCGTACGTA